AAAAAAAATAAAACTTATTTAGAGTTTATTATGTGTCAGCCATATAGGTTATAAGATGAGTAAGACAGGTTCTTTAATTTTAAGCATTTGACCATCTATCAAGGGAAAATCAATGCATGATAAAACAAAAAAGTATTCTTTACCAAAAAATTAACTCAAATATAAAGTCTTAAATTCAACTAAAATTTTAAAATGAAAGAAAAATGAAGATGAGTTCTCTGGAACAGTCTAATAAATCAAAAAAGGAAATAAAGCTAATTAGGCATCACTTTTTATCAGTAAATCTGTGTTGACTCTTGGTGACCACATCTTTCTTTTTCTAAATATTTACATATTTTAAGTATAAGATACTGTACTAAATTGTAACATATTGTTACCAGGTACCAGGATTTCATTACAAAATAAGCTTCTTTTATAAAGAGAGTAACTAGGGAAAAATCCATCCAACAGTATGATAACTTTGACTTCTTCTTAATCCCAATATTTATTTCAAGTTTAATTTAAATCTTACATTAAAAGAAAGTAAGAATACTGTATGTTTATTGAAAGGTGCATAAATGGGAAAAGGTTGAGAATTTCCTCACAGCAGGCAGGCAGACTGCATCTAAACATAAGAAAAAACTATCTAGCGGTTCTAGAGTGGGCTGCTTTGTGAAACAGAAAGCTGTTCATCACTAAGTCTTTAAAGAGAGCTAACAAGTTAATCTCTTCAGGATACAGCTGAAACTCCTGATTTAGAAAGCAGCAGTGTTGAGATCATTGCCTTTCAAACTGTGGCAAAGAAATACATTTTAATTTTTAATTTGCATGGATTAATACTTGCACAAGATACAAAGTATCACATATTTAAATGACATGGCCAAATAAATAAATAAATACATGACATGGCAATGTCAAATTATTATAAAGGTTTCTAAATGTTTGCTTTTGATTTCTGTATTAACTTGTTGCTCTCAGGTAACAAACAGCTAGCCTGGCAAGATGAGGCAAAGTACACTTCAAAATCTCTATGGCCCCACAGAGAGTTTCTTCAAATTTATCTACTCTGTCCTCTCCCCTTCAATATAAATTGGGTATTTATATCAAACTACTGATATCATACCAACCAACCTCTTTCTTTAGCAATTTCAGAAAAGCAGTTACCTAAAAGATATTAACCTGAAAGCATTAGATCAAGGGCCTGAAAATTTTTTTACTACATTAATTTTTATATTCATGCATTGAAAAAGCAAAACTCACTTTTTACGAAAACACATTTGAATGCTCATTTAAAACTAGTTACAAGAAATTTTATTTCCAGCCATTTCCCACACCTAATTTTCTGGTGTCACTTTCTTTGCACAAGCTGATAATGAAATGTGTAAGAAATTACAGTTGATCACACATTTGAAGTTCCAAATTTATTCTACCAGCTGGTAGCAAAACCAACAGAAAAGTTACTTGGGGATGGAGTGGGGGAACATAGTCATGAATTTCAGAAGCATTGGTAGGGGACTTGAGTATTTGTAACTACCTATAACAGCAAATATGGCAAGGAGGCCAAATTAAGAGTTGCCTGTTCTAATACCACCCGCAACATTCCTGGCTTTCTCTCCAAAGGCAATAAGACATTTTTGTTTAAAATCTGTTATCTTCTCCCTAATAAAAACAAAACAACCTTCCCTCTTAAAAGATAATTATCCGATTTATGAGCTTTCATCTCCCAACTCTATCAGACATGGTAGTTCCAATATTCAACTAGACTTCTACTAGAGCAGGAACGCCTCACTATGAGTACATGTATATGGGGAAGTCCATGGACCCTCTGGAACTCCAAATGTCTTTAAATTCTTGGTGAACGAGCAACTATATGGAAAAATTGCTCACAGTTGCCAATACATTCTTAGGGTACAAAAATCCAAAAAAATTAAAATATGTTTTTAAAGTTAAAAATGTGATGGGAAGAGAATCATAGGGTACATGTTCTTCATTAACTGAATAAAAGGTTATTAAATCATGTGACCAAAAAGGACTTTAAAAATAAATCCCTTCATTTTGGAGATGATAAAACTAACATTTGGAGAAATTAAGGGAGTGCTCAAGCCCACAATGCTGGCCAGAAGGCAGAAGCCAGAGGAAAATGCTGGGTCTGTTCTCCCAAACCCAGCTGCCCACAGGGGCCAGACAGGAGTAAACACACTACAGTCAACAATCCTACCTCTGATAAACGTACCATTTCAGAATAAATCATGTAATTCTTTACACATCATAAGATACATAAACGTTTTCTGTTTTACTAAAGGTATCTAAAAATACATATTCTTAGATACATTTTAGAACTTGCTTCCTTGCCAGCATGAACAATCAACAACTTGTCAATCATCTGAAAGACAGTGCTTGATCCTACTGCAAACAATCAGAGAAGGGCATTCACTTGACCTAGAAGGGACAGAGGATGTGTGGGAGACACAAGGCTTCAAGGAGGCACTTAATCCCATTTCTTTTTCAGTTAATTACTCTGAAAGCCCACAATGCAAAGTAAAGTAGTTGAGTGGATCTTTCAGTAACTGGTGAAGCTGTTTAGAAATTTTAAGCAAATCTTCTTCTCAAAGTTTATTCTCATGTTTATTCACGTTAAAGAACAGCAAGTGCAAAAAACCAACAGAGATGATGCCTGGTAAAAAGAGTTTTTATAGTTAAGTAATTAAGTGAGAAAGCTGAAAAAGAATGCCTTATTTTGGTGTCAGTTAGGATGGATAGGAATCCAAAATTTGTTTTTAGTTTTTTCCAAAATAATTAGAAAATTGAAAGTCTATAAATAAGAATCTAAGAAACCCTTTACTCTCCTCCCCCCCTTTGACTTCTGAAATACAGTGCAACTTTCTACCATCTGTTATTTTAAAGCAGAAACAGTAATGAACATATGGGCTTTCTCTCTCAAGCAGCTGTAGTGTAGTTAAAGTTATAATAATTGTCTCTCTGTAAGATAAATTTACATTAAAAATCTGGCCAGTTAAAAACAAATGGCTCAGCGTCAGAGCCTTCCAGAATAAAATTAAGAAATTTAGAATCATCTATGACATATTACATTCATAGATTTAGAGGAAATACTCTAACTCATGTGCTTTTATATTTAGGGTTAAATAAATATAATTCATGGTGCCCAAACCAGTTTATATTAATATGATCAAAGAGCTCACAACTCTGGCCGGGTTCCTTGGCTCGCACCTGTAATCCCAGCACTCTGGGAGGCTGAGGCAGAAGGATACCTTGAGTTCAGGAGGTTGAGACCAGCCAGAGCAAGAGGGAGACTTCCTCTCTACTAAAAATAGAAAAATTAGGTGGGTGTTGTGGCTAGCCTCTATAGTCGCAGCTACTTGGGATGCTAGGCTGATGCCACTGCACACTAGCCTGGGGAACAGAGCGAGACTTTGTCTCAAAAAAAAAAAGGTAAGAGCATCAAACAGGTTCAAGTACTTATATATAAAAAACAACAACTAAGTTCCTAAAAACTTTTACATAAGTTCATTACTTCTGTGAATCACTGAACTCCAACCTAAAGGCTCATTTATTTGTAATAAAAATCATAATACATGTGGCACATAAGACTTCCATCTCAACTGTGTATCATTTATAACGAATTTAAGTAAACTGAAAGGAACTCCAAGCATGCTCTGATCCACATATGATGAAAAATAGGAATTTTACCTACCTTTATCTGGGTGATTCAAAATCATTATTCTCCTATGAGCTGTTCTAATCTTGGCTTTGCCAGCAGATGGGCTGTAAAAAGAAATTAAAGTGCTTATAATAAATAGTGCCAAACGCAGATTATAAATTAACAGTTTATATGGGTTTCAAGAAATTAAAACCTAATGAGAATTTCACCATCTTGTGGGCAAATATGAAATTACAGCTTTTCACTTAATTTCACTATCGACATAAATCACGGATTCAATGCTGCTGTGTTTTTCCTTAGTCCTTTGTAATGCCAGTCTTTAGTTTCAATTAAAAAAAACAACAACAACACAATATATAGGTCAGGGAAGTCACAGTCACAGTTTGCAGATGAAACTACAAGTTTGAAAACTTGTGTTTCTAAGTTATTGTGGGAAAGGCAGGATATATAGTGTACTAGACAGATATTTGAATTTCAGAGCTAAAATGCTGGATTTTAATCCTAGCCTTGCCATTCAAGATTGGGTGACGTTTGTCAAATTTTTAACTGCTCTCTGCTTCAGCTTGTTCACTAGCTAGCTGGCAATGAAAAACTCCTCAGAGAGCAATAGAAAGGATTAAATGAGTTAATGCCTCCCAAGTGCTAGAATAGTACCTGGCATGAGCAAGTGCTCCATAATAGTTATCTTTTATTTTTAGCTTTCAGAAGATCTCAAAATCTCTTATATTTCACAGTTTATTTAGCTTTACGAGAAATCCATGGTAAAAGCTTGACTGCTAAAGCCTATGCTATAAACAAAAATTAAAATAGAAAATTAAATAAACTTAAAATTATTTTGGTGAAACCTAATTTATCCAGTATTGGAAATGTTTCTCATTAGTACATTATCTAGGCAAGGAAAAA